TGAATAAATAGCGACTGTTGACTCGTTGTGTAAAAAGCATTGAAAACTGTTCCAGTGTTTCTTTTTTGTATACTGTGGGATGTGGATGCTTCCTCCTGCTGAAATCTGCTGAATTAATAAACTGTATTTCATTGCAGCTCTTTTTTTAATTGAACATATGTAACTAATGTGAACATTTGAAAATAATTTGTGTCTGTGGCACGTTGTGAATATGCAGGTAACATAACCTCTGTATTTGCTGTGCTTGCACCATGTGAGGATGAAGACTATCAGAAGCAACAGCCCGATGGTGCAGGTGCTTATCAGCCAGGTTTTTGTGGAGAATCAGGGTCTAAAGTGAGACGATAGAAGGTGAGTCTTTAAAAACAATATTAGACTCTGTGTGGGTCCAGAGGTGCGGAGGGTCCACCCCTTTACAAAATATGCAGAAACACACACACACCGATGACGGTGATGGAGGCCTGGGCGGTAACCTTGTCCACATCCGTGATGACCTCACAGGAATATTCAGCGGTGTCGTTTAATTGGACGTCCGTTACTCTGAGCGTACCGTTGTCAAAGATCATGTACCTACACACAGACGGAGAAGCACACGTGTACAACCCAGATCCAGAAATGTTGATGTTGACTTTGCTGGCAACAACACAGAGATGTTAGAACAGACGAAAGGGCGAACGTGGGAGGAGCATGTTGCATCTCATTGGCTTAATTGCCAGCAGGTCGGTAACATGGCTCGGTACAATAAGAGCTTCTTTGAGAGGCAGAGTTTCTCAGTGATTGTGATGATAAAAACGAAGCATCAGCAGAGCTGTGCCGTTTCACAACAGTGACTGTTGGTGACACCTGAAAGTGCCCGGAAACAAAAAATCTGCAATTTCTCTAATAAGAGTGACTGCTGAACAAACTAACAGATTTTGAAGGATTTAGCTGAATAATAAAAATAATCTGATGTTTGAACGACACTAATGCTGCTTCCTCTCTGGAGATGCTCTCCTTCACTTTCCTGCAGCTGCCTTCAGTTGCTGTTTATTTGTGGCTTGCTCTGTCTTCAGTTTTTTCTGTTGAACAGAAATCAGGTAACTGGCTCAGCAACTTGAAACTTTGTCTTACTTTTGGCTGTGAAGCTCTGTCTAGTCAGTTTTGTAGCTTTTGACAGAATCTGAGCCGAGTATTTACACAGCAATGTGTTCAGAATGTTCTGAGAATGGACAGAAACAGCGAGTGTGTGCTTTTGTTTACCTTTTATCGACACTAGACTCTGATAGTTTCCGGTCGCCTTGCCTCCAGACCACATGGTAACCGCTCAGCCGAGGATCTACAACGAAACAACAGTCCAGGAGGACGCTGGTACCTCGGAGGGCGTGAACGTCCTGTGGACCCGTCAGGATCACCGTTCGATCTGAAAGTAGAGAAGTTACGACAGAGTGTTTTTAGCATCTGCTAACAAAGTTTTTCTGTAAAGGCTGCAGTGCTGAGTTGTAATTCAAACTGAAGGTTTATTTCTTGTGGACAACTTAAAAAACAAAAAACACAAGCACTGATTTTTTTATTAATCCAGGAGAAGGTTGAGGCCAAACAAGTCAGCGCTTGATAAGAATATTAATGGGGGCCAGTTTAGCTCACTGGTTGAGCAGGTGTCCATACGCCTTATTTCTGAAGGCTGTGAGTCTGATGTGTGCTGCTCTTCACTGCTCAACTGTTAAATAAAAGCAAAAGCCCAAATGAAAAAAAATAATAACAATCGCATAATTCCATCTTTTCCTC